TCGTAGTAATACTGGTCTCTCTCAAAATTGCGTGATGAGGAAGATAATATCCTTCACTATCTATGTCATCACTTAAAGACATGTGACCTAAATCCTGATATTCTGACATAAATGATACATACTCTGTTCTCAAGGCCATGTTTTTATTTAATTTTTTCTCAAGTAGAAAGAATCGTTTAAGTGCCATTTTACGGGAGTCGCCTAATAAATTTAAATTTTTCTTGAATGGTACCCTAACCACAAATCTGCCTGACATTTGGCTCCTGGTAGTTGTTTTTGCAAAATAATCTTCACAATATTGCTCTGCTTCAGACAAAATTGATTTATTAATATTGAGTTCCTCAATTTCCCAAAATCTTATAAGAATTTTATCAAGAGATTGGTTGAACTCATTTAAATTGAAACAACTTAATGAAGAGTCATTGAAACTTGATTTATTGACAGATAAATTCCCTCCTATCACATATCCAAATTTGGTTTCCCGTAATATAGGTAAATTAGGTCCTAAGTGGAGTTGTCTAGATCCTAGAACAGACCAAAAAATATCTGAACCTAATAAAATTTCAACATCTCCTGCTACATTAAATTTAGGATCTGCTAGTTCCAAATTAGCTGGAATTCTTAGAATTTCCTTACTAAATGACAAAATCGGTAATTTTTCTGTAATACTTGGTAGAACTAAACAATTAATATTCACTGAAAACTTATTGTCAATACAGGATTTTATTGTCAAATTTACCTGTGAATTTATGCTAGTTGAGGATTGACCTACCCCTTTCACAGCATGATTTATTTGGACCTGGTTCAATTTTAATACATTACAAACATTCTGGGAAACGAAATTACTCTGTGATCCACTATCCAATAGAGCGCGTACAAAAATAGTTTTATTACCATTTATCACCTTAATCATGGCAGTTGAAAGCAATACCTGTGAATATGCTGACATGGCTGTATGCCCTGTATCAAATGTTTGTTGCTGTGTCTGAGATCCGACAGCACCGCGCTGACCCAAAAATGAATTTAAAGAACTATTAGCTATCTGTTGGACGACATTTTCTTTTCCTGTTATACCTTGAGTTTGGTCTTGGGTGATTTTATTTTCACCACGATTAACTATTGAATTTTGTTCTGAATTATTATTATATGAATCCAAATGTAAAATGGAATTATGGGCTTTCTGGCACTTAGTACATTTGGATTTTATACATTTCCATGAAGGATGCTTATCATTGAAGCAGTTTAGACATAATTTTAGCTGCTTTATTGCACTTATTCTGTCATTTACTGATAACTTGAGAAAAGAACCGCATTTGAAAATACTATGAGATCCCTGACAATAATAACATTTGAAAAATTTTGTGAAGCTATTTTCTACTGATGAATAGCTACTAGTTAATCCCCTTGAATGTTTTTTATTGACCTGTTGTTTATTATATTTTTGAGACTCAGCATCTTGTCGTTGAGATGCCTCTAACTTTTCCAATACCTCACACTTATTTTTGAGGAAATTATTTAGATCTGACATTTTCGGTAAATTACCTACACATTTATAATTTTCCCATTCACGACGTGTTACATAGTCAAACTTGCTTGACATAATATAAATTATAAGACTATCCCATGCATCAGTATTCTCACCTAATGAATTTAATGCTCTCAAATGCTTGGTGATCGAGTCATATAAATTTCTTAGGTCATTATACGACTCCTTAAGCAACTTAGGATGTTCATAAATAGCAGAAATATGATTGTGAATAATAAGTTTTTTATTTTCGAATCTCTCATTGAGAAATCTCCATGCAACATTATAATTAGCGTCTGTGACCTCTAATGACTTAATTACTTCGAGAACATCTTTGCTTAAGGAAGACCTTAAATAATAAAATTTCTGAACATCATTCAATGCATTATTACTGTCCACCAAGGCGTTAAATAAGTCTTTAAATTCAAGCCAATTACTGTATTGCCCATCAAAATTTGGCAGTTTAATCGGCGGTAATTTCACCAAAGATTGTAATGAATTTATATTTTGTGACGGTGTTGTCTGAACCGTAGAGTTGGAATTTGCACAAGGCTTATTATGACTATTTATCAAGGCATTCATTTCCCCATACAATTTAAAATATTTTTCTTCAAACTCACCTCTCTCAGTTTCGTCAGACTGAATCTCTGAATTATTTGCCCTGCTGGTTAGTTGTTCTATCTGAAATTGCATATCTTCAAATTCGTCAAAAAGGGGCTTTAATTTTTCAAGTCTAATTTGAATTTCATTTATAATATTATCATTTATCTTATTTATTTCTATTGCGTTCAAATAATTTTCTATACGTGTAACTTTACCTTTTAAAACGCCTTTTTTTGATTTTAATTTCGCTAACTCTTCCATAATTGACACAAATTGAAGGTATATTAAGCTTTACAAATTTTAATTAAAATTGACTCACCCAGAACTAAGCGAACAAACCCGCGTTGGATCACCACACTTTTCTGATTTCAGCTCACAGCCGATACAGCTCGATTTTACCTTGATCTTCAGCTATTTTAGTGAAATTGGCTTTATTTTTGCCAATTTTGTGATTTTACCTGAAATAATCCCTTTATTATAGGATATCACTAGTTATTTATCCGGCTCGAAGGACCAATGATTTGCACTACTGTTGCACTAGTTAATATTTATTAAAAATATATACGGACTGTATATTAATCATTTACTTTGACTAGATTTATTTATTGAAAACGGTTTTCTTTGACATCTAATTATATATCTTTCAAAACATGACACCCAGGTATTACTGGTATTAGGTACTAGTGGCAGAGAGGAAGTTCCGAATACTATTCTTGTAGTTGTAAAATTCATATAATAAACAAAAATTAAATAAAAAATTCAAAATGAAATCGTATTACGAATTGTGCTCAAACAGTATTTAATTAGCACTTAATTAGCATTAAATTATTCAAATGTCGAAAACTCTACCAATTCCTTCTTCCATGAAAACTCAATATGTGTACTGCATAAAGCTAGCAGTGCACAACGTTGCTTTTAGAAAATATTCGAAAAAAAGCTGAAAATAGAGTTTTTGTTCATGGAAATGCTGGCATTTAATTAGCATTTAATCTTCTTCATCATTTATATTACGCTACCACTTTCCTGGATCATTCCTGGATGGTGCACTGCTATCTTTAATGGGTATAGCAGTGCAGGCCATATCTCGGAAACTACAAAAGCACACAATTTGGTAACTTGGCACTTAATTAACACTAAATTATTCCTATATCGAAAACTCTTCCAATCCCTTCTTTCATGAGAACTCAATATGTGTACTGCATAAAGCTAGCAGTGCACCACTTTTTTTTTTAAAAAATATGTGAAAAAAAGCTAAAAATACAAATTTTGTTCATGGAAATGGTAGCATTTAATTAGCATTCAATTTTCTTCATCATTTATATCACCCTACCACTTTCCTGGATGATGCACTGCTATCTTTAACAGGTAGCTACTCGGGTAGCTACCAGAGCTGGACAGGGCTTGAGTGCTTTGTGCTTGTAAAAGTGCTTGAAGCACTTTGAGGGCTTGAAAGCCCTGTGCTTCAAGCCCTTTCACATATTTGTAATTGGGGCTTGCAAAGTCAATTATTTCAGGAAAGTGCTTGGTAATTTGTAATTGAAAAAAGTAATTCAAGCCCTTTCAATGAGCTTCAATTACTTTTAGAGGGCTTAAAGCACTTTTGGAAGCTTAAAGCACTTCCAAAGGGCTTGAAGCACTTTCAAAGGACTTGAAGCACTCTAAAAAGGGCTTGAAGCACTTTAAAAGGGCTTGAAGCACTTTGAAAGGGCTTGAAGCACTTTAATAGGACTTGAAGCACTCTAAAAGAAATTTGAATTGACCATCATTTAACCTATCCCCCACCTAAACATTTTGAATCAATGTGTTTTGTTGCTTAATTCTGATATCTATTCTGTGTCAGAATGCTTACCGCATATACCACCGAATTTTCTGATTGATATTTATCTAGAATCTAGATTTTCGCTTATCGATAATCGATATTTCTATTCTCAATAGGTACGATATTTAAAAAATATCGAAACTCGTCAAATGGCATCGATATTTTAAATCCATATTTCGATACCAGTATCGATATGCTAATTTTTTTGTGACGCCATCTGTTAACATCAAAGAAAATGACAAATAATACAATTTTAGTAATTTCATGAAATTAGCGTGAGTTGTTGTGATGTGTAAGGATAAGATACCATGTAAAAAAAAATTACCCACACTTACAATATTCAAAGGGCTTCAAGCACATTTAAAAAGCTGCATACACATTTAAAGAGCTTTAAGCAAATTTAAAGAGCTTCAAGCACATTTGAAGAGCTTCAAGCACATTTAAAGAGCTTCAAGCACATTTAAAGAGCTTCAAGCACATTTAAAGAGCTTCAAGCACATTTAAAGAGTTTCAAGCACATTTAAAGAGCTTCAAGCACATTTAAAGAGCTTCAAGCACATTTAAAGAGCTTCAAGCACATTTGAAGAGCTTCAAGCACATTTAAAGAGCTTCAAAGCTCTTTTTGAGGCACCCCAAGCACTTTTGACGTGCTTCAAGCACTTTTGATGTGCTTCAAGCACTTTATAAATTACTTTGGGGGCTTTGTGCTTGCCAAGCCCAAAGCACTTTGAGGGCTTTGTGCTTGTGAAGCACTTTTGAAAATAAAAAGGAATTTGTGCTTGAAATTGAAAGCACTTTGAGAAAGGGCTTAGGGGTTAGTGCTTCAAGCCCTTTCACTGAGGGCTTTGCTCAGCTCTGGTAGCTACCTAGCAGTGCAGGCGATATCTCGGAAACTACAAGAGCACAAAATTTGTGAACTTGGCATTTAATTAGCACTAATTTTTCCTGTCATAAAAATTTTGCACTGCTGACTTTGCACTGCTAACTTTATATACGTCAAAAATTCAGACTTCAAAAAATAGGAAATTGAGAGAAAAAAGGGGACTAACAAAGCAAGAATTTGGGGTATACATTGTTTACTTGGCTTCAATTACTCAAATTGTCATAAGTTGCTTTTGAGTCACCCTGTACACTGTATACATGATACATCATTAAAAAAACGGCCACCAAAATAAAAAATCGATATGTCCGAGGTTTTTTGAAAAAAAAAATATACATGGTTAGTTTATTTTATGCATATAAACTGTAAATTGAATTGAATATTCTAGATTGATGTTACAAAATCTTTCAAACAAAGACCTCATAAGCACATATCTGTTTATTAAAAAAAAAAAAACTTCAAACTTTTTTAACAATTTGTACAACATCCTCATCTGAGAGCACGTGATCCAAGCCGACTTTCTGAGGCTGATGTTTCACAGAGGAGCCCCATACTAAACCACTAAAAGTAAAATAATTAATATTCATCCATAGAAACTAAACTAAAAACTTACTATTTAAATTCTTTAGCGATACTCCTGTGCAATTTATTACAAAAATCTTCAACAGTAGTATGATCCGAGTGTAATACAATCGGTGAATTGTAATCGGGCAACTGCCCTTTGGGTTTCGTATAACTGAAACACATTTTATTATTAAACTAAATTTGGAAAATAAAGTTATTAGGTACCTACATTCGGACAAGTTTCAAATATTCCCACATTTTCTCCAATAAATCATCAAAATTCCACCTGTGATGAGCAGAAATCGGCACGCAATGAGGTATTTTATAAATAACGTCCAATTCTTCAATACTAATTTGATCTGAAATAGAAATTTAATAAAGCAATAATTTTACAATAAGTAGACATAATAAACTTACCAATTTTATTTAAAATATAAATACAGGGAACATAAATTCGATTCCCTTCGATAACATCAATTAAATCGTCACTAGTAGCGTCATATTTCAAAGTAACATCGGCATTGTGTATTTTGTACTCAGACAAAATCGTTTTGACAGTGTCCGGATCCAATTCCGATTGGGTCACCATACAATTCAAATTAATTCCACCTTTGTCTTTCTTTTTAAAATAGATATTCGGTGGTTGTTTGTTCAGCCTCAAACCGAACCCTTCCAATTCGTGTTCGATTAATTTTTTGTGCACCAGAGGTTTGAGAACGTCCAGGCAAAGGAAGATCAGACTGCAGGTTCGGGCGACGGCGATCACTTGCCTACCACGCCCTTTGCCGTCCTTGGCGCCTTCGATGATTCCAGGCAAATCTAATAACTGAAAATGTCAGTTGGAGGTTTTAAAATTGTCCGCCACAAACAAGGAAATATTACACAATCAATTTTGCTTGCATTCAAATTTATTATTTTTATTTCCCAAAAAAAAATGTTAAAATATTTTTATTATCAGATGTCTCCTAGTCCATAGCACACTAGTAATGTACGGGGTGGTCCAATTATTATTTTATTTGGAAATTCAATTTCTCAGCAAGATACAAAAAAAAAAAAATGATTCACCCACACTGATTGGTGCAAACAGCCTTTTGATATCTTCAAACGTTTTGCCCGAGGGGTGTCTCACCCTCTTAAATTTTGAACACCTATTCCCTTTTTGGAAATGTTTTCCTATTGGCCATAATTTCCGAAATTTCCTGAATATTCAGAATTTTTTCAAGTATTTCCTATAATTTCTAAAATTTCCTGAATAATTTATGGAATTTCCTGAATATTTACTGATTTCCTATGAAATTTCTGAAAAAAAAATTGATAATTTTCAAAATTTTTGAGAGATTTTTCATTTCTCTCCAAAATTTACGAACATCTCCACAATATTTACTGTAATTTTCTAGAAATGAACATTTTTTTGCTGAAATATGTACATGGTGGTGACAAATGTTGGCTGTTGACTCCAGTTTGTCACTTTTTGAAAGTAGACCTTCAACTGTTTTACTCTTCAATTGTCAATCTAATCTAGAGGGCATCAATTCTATACCTATTCGATTCTACAATGTGTCCAAGATAAGGAGGGCCAGTATGGAGATCTGATGATATGGTGGCCCAAAGACGAAACGTCGGATTACAAATTTAATACTGCCATATTGTAGATGAAGAAAAGTGGCAATGGCGAAATGCATATTTATTTTAAAATATCTCTTTAAATAAGGTCAGGAAAAAATAAAATCGTTTTGGGCGAATTTCAGGTTTTCTCGGATATCTCCGGAATCACTCGAAATTTTTCAAATATCAGAGCGGTGTTTCAATGAGCCCCAAATTTCGCAAATTTTTCCTAATTTGAGCAACGTCGTATCTTTCACTGTTTATAAGATCCCCAACTGGCCCTCCTTATCTTGGATACATTGTACCTATATTTGAAATCCCAATAAATGATTTTGCAAAGTTTAAAGTGACCGTGAAAGCGTTTGGAAAAACAGTTGAAAATTATATTTTTCTATGACCCCTTGACCATAATTCAATATTTTACAGCAAAAATTTAGATTTTATTAATATTGTACGAACCTGAACTTGAGGGTATAGGTGAAGCAAGATGTTGTTTATAAAGGTAGAAAATACATTATATATCTTTTTATTATAAATGGACTCAAGAATGGACCTTTTCCTAAAAGTTAAGGAGGTTTACAGGACCATAAACAATAAATTGAATCTGAACCTCAGCATAGGCTAAGTTGGCCATACGAATGTGTCTTATTCCCTTTTCAATAATTTGAAAATAAGTAAACCATTTTTTCAACGCTCAGCCTTTTTTCCATATATTATGATGCTAGGATACAATATATTCGGATTCAAATAACATAAACTTAAAACTTGTATCAACTTCAAGTAGCTTGAAGTTCCTTTGCACTCAGGGTAATTTTTAAGGAGATTTTGTACCTCTTCTGGAAAAGTTCATCCTATCTTCTGGAACAATGTCAGAACTAATAAATGTTCACTTTTATTATGTTTTCCCTCATGTTTTCCTTGGTGTTTTCCAATTCCTATATTAAAATGATCTACTGAAAATATGTAATCTCGATTCTCTAATGACCAATAATTTTTTTTCTCAGTAGGCGATTTTCTAATTTGGCCCCAATATGAACAGTATCTTGAGAATGTAGCATTCAAATCCATTCAAGTCTAAGTGGATCCAATTCCAAAAGGTTTTTCCTTGAATATTAAACAGTATTCTTTTAAATTTGAACCCGTAAATCATGAAGTGAAATTTTGGGAGAATTTCTTTGATAGAAATGAATGCCCAACGTCCAACACAAAACTAGATTTTTTTAAAAATTTCCAATTATTAGTGTTTCTTATAATAAGAATGTGAACCTCAGTGACGTCATGACTGTACAATTTCCTTTAAATTCCTCATAAATTCCTCACACATTCCTCCAAATTCCTCATAAATTTCTTCAAATTCCCTATACCTCAATTCCCCACATTTTTGGCAAAGAATTCCTAGGTGGTTTGCCCCTTAGAAAATAGAGTCTCACACAATTCAAAGTTTTCTTGAAAAACTAATAGAGGGAATGATTGAAACTTTTTGCATGTAAAGAGGCAGGTTAGGAGGTCATTTTCCCAAAATTTCAAATTTTTCCAGGCGAATATAACAACATGAAAAGTCTTGGAAATCAACTTAGAAAAAGTGAATTAATTGAAAATACAATTTCACACATTTCAAAGTTTTCCTGGAAAACTAATTAAGGAAAAATGTTGAACTTTTTGCACGTAAAGAGGAAGGTTAAGAGCTCATTTTCCCATTATTTCAAATTTTTCCAGTGGAAAATAAGAACATGAACAATCTTGGGAATCAGCCTACAAAAACTGAATTATTTGAAAATACAGTCTCACACATTTCAAAGTTTTCCTGAAAAACTAGTGAAGGGCAAAACAAAAAATTGAAACTTTTTACATGTAAAGAAGAAAATTAAGAGCTCATTTTTCCAAAATTTCAAATTTTAAATAACAATATGGCGAATCTTGGAAATCAGCCTACAAAAACTGAATTTAAATTGAAAAACAGTCTCACACAATTCAAAGTTTTCCTGGAAAACTAGTGAAGGGAAAAATTTGAAACTCTTTGCATGTAAAGAGACAGGTTAGAGGTTCACTTTCCCAAAATTTCAAATATTTTCCAGTGGAAAATAACAACATGAAGAATCTTGAAAATCAGCTTACAAAAACTGGATTAATTAAAAATACAGTCTCACACATTTCAAAGTTTTCCCGGAAGACTGAAAAAGGGAAAAGTTTGAAACTTTCTACATGTAGATAGGAAGGTTAGGAGTTCATTTTTCCAAAATTTACAAATTTTTCTAGTGGAAAATAACAACATGAGAAATCTTGAAAATTAACTTAAAATAACTGAATTATTTGAAAATATAGTTTCACACATTTCAAAGTTTTCCTGGAAAACCAATAGAGGCAAAGTTTTGGAACTTTTTGCATGTGAAGAGGAAAGTTAGGAGCTCATTATCCCAAAATTTCAAATTTTTCCAGTGGAAAATAACGACATGCAAAATATTGAAAATCAACTAACAATAATTGAATTAATTGAAAATACAGTCTCACACATTTCACAGTTTTTCTGGGAAACTAGTACAGACATGGAAAAATTTGAAACTTTCTGCATTTAATGAGGAAGGTCAAAAGCTCATTTTCCCAAAATTTTATATTTTTTCCAGTATAAAATAACAACAAGAAGCTTGACTTCTATAGTTTATGAGATGTGTTTATACATAAGTACAGTCGGAATCATTGCAATTGGCACAGACTCTTTAAAATTCCCCGTATTAAGTCAAAATTCTAACCAACAAATCTATTTAGTGCAGCATTTTGCTACTGTGCTATTACTGTGTGTCAGATTTGACACATTATGAGGAATATTTACATAGTGTGTGCCAATTGTAATGGTTTCCACTGTACCTAAATACCTACTTACTTACATTTATTTTGTTAGCAGTTAGGTATTTTTATTCATAAAACACTGAACAGGAATTAAACAATATTCGAAACACAACATTTCTCAAAGATTTCTGGTGAAAATTTCCTAATTTCCTGAAATAATTTCAGTAAATTTTCTATAATTTCGAAAAATTTCCCAATATTTCGAATAATTTCCTAACAGTTCCTGACATTTCCCAAAATTTCCAACCATTTCCTATAATTTCTGAGAATTGACATAATTTGTGACAATTTACAGGAAATTTCTGTAATTTCTCAAGATTTCCGGAAATTATTTTGAGATTTGTACAACTATTTCCGACCGTGAGACACCCCTCGGTTTTGCCACTAGAGGGAATTTCTGGATTTTTGTTCTGGATCTGTATACAAGGTGTCCCAGGGAAAACAGTCCACCCCGATTTATTGGATTTGGGATGAGAATCTGGAAAACACTCGGATACGTCGATGTTTGATTTGAGGGGGAACTATTTTTCCATTTGTTTCATCTCCGTAGCTTAAACCCCCTAGCTAGGGAGAGAACAACCCCCCTAAATTTGAATAGGGGATAGGGGTCGTGTCATACCTCTTTTTAAAGGTCTCATCGAGTTTTCTATGGCCTTAGAATTGCATCTTATTATTTTCATCTGTAATGAAATGACAGCTTGTCAAAATCTTAGAAATAGACTAAAATTTGTTTTTTTTTTTCAAATAAAAGTCAAAAGGACATTATGTTGGCAATACAATGTAAAATTGTCAATGCTTTCAAATTTTTTATGTAGAAAAGGCTTGTGTTGCCAACATAGTTACTAAATTTTTGACTTGGGAATTATCTTTAAAAAAAAAACAGACTTTATTGTTTTAGTATGAGTAAAAGCGGTACTTACGTTCTTTAATAAAAATACGAGTAAAAATACCTACAATTTACAATTCTCAAGTATACCTCATCAATAATAATAAAAAAAAACTTCAATTTCAAGTATTTTTATTAAGGGAGGTAAGTATCGCTTTTACTCCCACTAAAACAATAGTCTATTTTCAAGATTTTGACAAGCTGTCATTTCGTTACAGATGAAAATAATGAGATGATATTCTAGGGTCATAAAAAACTCAATAAGACCTTTAAAAAGAGATATGACACGACCCCTATCCCCTATTCAAATTTGAGGGGTTGTTCTTCCCCTAGGTAGGGTGTTGAAGCTACAGGGATGAAAAAAACTTCCCCCTAAAATCAAAAATCGACGTATCCGAGCGTTTTTCTAGATTCTCATCCCAAATCCAATAAATCGAGGTGGACTGTTTTCCCTGAGACACCCTGTATAATATTTCATGATGAGGCCATCTTCTGTTTACTTCCAATTTGAAAAGGTAGTTAATTGTGGATTCAGGAAAGTTCCTTAAATCTATACATTATATAAAAGGCGAAGGTTTACCTACCTATGGATGAACTAGAAACATGATATTTTGCACAATAATTGTAGAGATTTGTAATCTCATCGAAGAAAAATTATCATATTGTGAAAATTCCACCCCTAAACCCCCTTAGAGTGGAATGAAATACTATTTTACAGTTTTCTCTTCTTTAAGGGTAGTGTTGGGTTAGTCTGAGCTTTTGAAGAGAAAATATTTATCATTAATTTTAAATTCTACCTTTGTAAAAATTGTTAAATACAGCTCTTTAATATTCCTAAAACCACGCAATACGAATGACATAAAACTTAATAAATAATATAATGATGCGTTTCAGGGTTTTCAGATTTCCACATTTTAACAAACAACTTCATGTGTGCAAAGCCGTGAGAAATCAGACTAGTCTGTGATTAAATCGGTCTTGATTTTGTAAAAGAAGTGCTAATATGGTATTAAAATATGTATTGGGTATTCTGTTCCTTGTATATATGTTACGGTTAATATGCAAACTTGGCTAGTTTGTAAACTAGCTGGATAGTTTACAAACTAACCAATTCGATAGTTTACAAACTAACCAATTCCTTGGCTATTTTGATAGAAAACGCAATTTTCACTAAAATAGCAGCTAGTTTGCAAATTAACCAAAAGTCTTGGCTAATTTACTTGAAATTATTGAGAAAAGTAAATTAGCTGGTTAGTTTATAAACTATCCAATGCAGCCTGGCTAATTTGGAAACCATGATTTCTAGTAGCACAAAATAGCCAAACCTTTGGCTAGTTTGTAAACTAACCAACCAATTTTCTGGCTAATTTACAAATAAAGTTTAATGTTCACTGTATTTCTTATTCGATAAATTAGAGATGAATAAAATGCAAATTTTTGCTTTGTTCTTTTTTAACTGGTAATTTTCACATCCATCAAGGAACAAAGTTACAATTTCTTAGGTAATATTTGAATATTTTTGATTTATTAGCTATGTTGTAATTTTTCTTTCGCCATGCCCAGTTGATTTGTGAGATTCTTTAATATCAAACAAATCATCCATACAAGCTAATATTTTGCCAGACTTCCTTCGTTGTAAAGTTGGGAATTATTTGCTTTATTATTATACAGATCTATTAAAGAAGCGTCAAATTTTTTAACCTAACTTTGTTTGTAAATTAGCCAGAAAATTGGTTGGTTAGTTTACAAACTAGCCAAAGGTTTGGCTATTTTGTGTTACTAGAAAATATGGTTTTCATATTAGCCAAACTGCATTAGATAGTTTATAAACTAACCAGCTATTTTAGTTTTCTCAATAATTTCAAGTAAATTAGCCAATACTCTTTGGTTAGTTTGCAAACTAGCTGCTATTTTAGTGAAAATTGTGTTTTCTATCAAAATAGCCAATGAGTTAGTTAGTTTGTAAACTATCCAGTTAGTTTACAAATTAGCCAAGTTTGCATATTGACCGTAACATATACAATATTTCTCTGCAGTAATCGGACACATACAATGTGTCCACCTAAGTTCGCAACATATGGGAAACTTTTTTATCAATTTTAAGAAAAAAAGTTATTCTTTAAAAAAGTTTCTGCTTGTTGAAAAAATAATATTTAACTACTAAAACTTGAAATAGCATGTACAGGGTGGTCAAAAAATAGAAAAATATACAGGGTGTTTCCTAAGTACGGTTCGTAACTTCAGGATGTGATTCCTTACAATATTTTAAGAAAAAAAGTTCCTATAAACATGTGTCCGGAAATGCGTAGTTTCTGAGATACAGGAGTGTCAAAGTTTTAGAAAAAAATAGTTTTTCAAAGTTTTTTTAGCTCAAAAATCCCTTTTCCAATGTTTTTTTCAAATTTGGCAGGTCTGTTTATGATAACGAAAGGTATCTTTATGACTAATATGACTTGTTTAATCTGGAAAAAATATCAAAAATTTAAAAAAATAGTGATGTGCCATTTTTTTTTGTACTTTTACCAAAAAATTCTGTATATTTTTCTATTTTCTGACCACCCTGTATATGCTATTGAAAGTTTTAATAGTTTAATACTATTTTTTCAAGAAGCAGATACTTTTATAAAGAATAACTTTTTTCTTAAAATTGATAATAAAAAAGTTTCCCATATGCTACGAACTTAAGTGGACACACTGTATATAAAAGATTGTAAAGTCTGTTTTTTTTTTAAAGAAAAAAGTCAAAATGACATTATGTTGGCAATACAATGTAAAATTGTCAATGCTTTCAAATTTTTTATGTAGAAAAGACTTGAGTTGTCAACATAGTTACTAAATTTTTGACATGGGGTTTTATCTTTAAAAAAAAAAAAAACAAGTTTTAATATGTAGGGGCGTGTTTTTTGGCATTCCAATATCTGTGAGTTGGACATAATGAACTTAATTCGCCAATTTTATTCAACAAAGGGCTTTTTTTTGCATGCAATTTGATTATGAATTTGTTAGTCAAATGGTCTCTACGTTCCCCTTATGAACGGTACTTCACAATCTTCTGCTTTCATTGCTCTTATAGGTTTACAAGGTAGGAATCCTAGACAAATTTGAATGCATTTACTTTTAATTATCTCATTTTTTTTTAGGTGAGTATTGGTTGCTGATCCATAGGAAACAGTATTATAATCTACAGTAGATCTTATTAAACTTTTGTAAAAAAGTAAACCCATATTGGGGTGAGCAGCCCCTGAATTATTGACTTATTGGATTTGCCTCTCAAACCTGATTCCAAATATACTGTGTGTTTTAGGTTTATTCCTATTAGTCCAGCATCTGAATATCCCATTTTGGAGTAATAATATAGATTTTATGCTTAAATGATTACCTTTATATTTTGCTGGTGGTCTCTATACTTTCCCTTTTTCAATAAAAATGCAATTATTTCATCACCTTTTTCCTTATTTTCTCACAGACTATCAGGAATAAACCTAAAAAACCTAGCATATTTGGAATCAGGCTTGAAAGACTAATCCAATGGAACAATAATATGGGGTATGTTTCATTTAAAAAAGTTTAACTTTGCTTTGCCACACTTTTGTGACACACCCTATATACTTGTAACTAACTCCATTAAAAACTTTCTGATACCTATTACCTATAGCTTTCAGATTCACACTTGACATTTCTTGGTATCTCTTCAAACAGGTGAGATAGGATTGATAGGAAATATAGACAATCACCCACTACTTGCTAGGGAACAAAATTGAAATTGCGTATAATTTTGAATAGAAACCAGTCACAATCATACATAAAATCATGCATATAACTCTTACATAAACATGCTTAATTGATTCATTGATTATGAGCCTCGCTAACAAAGCCAAAAAATGATTTGTAATATTTGTATTATTTATTTTTACCTGAATTTTAGCCCCCTTATATTTAATGCAGCCAGGAACGGTTGTGAGCGTTGTAAACTCATAGGCTGCCACTTCCGAATAAACTCCGGCCAAGTTACTCAACAAAGTGGATTTTCCCACTGAGGGAAAACCTACAAAGCCGACTCTGGCATCTCCGGTTTTAGCAACGTCGAAACCTGAACAATATTTTTCATTGTATCAATCAATTTTCAATAATTTTGCTGTTCGAGAAAAACTTGCTTACCTTCTCCTGTACCACCGCCGCCACCCTTGGGCGTAATCAGTTCCCGTCTCAATTTAGCCAGTCGGGCTTTCAAAAGACCCAAATGTCCGGCTGTGGCCTTATTTTTTTGGGTCCTTGCCATCTAATAAAGCAAACATTTGGAGGTTATATCTTGAAAATTGCAATTTTCTGTGGGACTTACCTCCCCCTCGATACTGGCGATTTTTTCGAGGATAGTACTCATGGCGCTGACTGATTAACAGGGGTTTAATTAATCTTTTCCACAATTATTGATGAAAATATGGGAAAATTTTCAAAACGGCAGGTAGTGCATGTGAGTATTTTTTTTGTTTTGAATATTGTTGACATTGACTGACAGTTGTCACGTCGTCACGTCACACTTGACGAATTTGACTTTGAAAGAAGTTTTTATTTCATGCTATTACTCCGAGCTAATTGGAATATGTATTAGGTCTTTTGCGAGGTCTTTTGTATTGAGAAGACAATCGAGTTTCAGATCTGCTCAGAAAAAATATAAATGAAAACCTCTATTGATTTCAACACTTCTTTTCCATAGTATTTTTGTTTGATTGGTTTCGGTTTCAAGAGTACTCTTTTAGAACAAGTACCAAAAAAACTGCTCTGACTCTCAGACTCTACTCCAACTCCGTTGATTCGGATAGCCGAACGCGCCGAAACGTCATTGGCCGAACCGGACCGAACCCAGCTGTTACATGACATTCGAATGTCACTTTGACTTTTGACTTTGAGGTTAAAAAAAGAGTTATTTAAAAAAAAAAACACAATATTTTAATTAAATAATAAATTAACTCCATTCATACTTTTTCGCCCTGTGTGCTCCATAAATTATTTGTTTGTCATACGTAATGATTATTGTGCTTGCAGCCCTATAAATCGCGTTTTCAGAAGGTAAGCAATAACAATTATTTAGGCGCTACCCTACCTATTTTCTCTTTAGTTTTGAGGCAAGCTGTTTCTATTAATATGATTTATTTTTGCATATCATACATACCTGTAATTTGCTAGAGAAAATCAAAGAACAAAATGTTTCTTGTTCATACAGTATCTAGACTCAACTTGTCTTTTACATACAATACTATTTATTTCTTGCTTATGATGGTTTCTTAATATTTCGATCTATAATTTTATAGATATCGAAAAGTTCAAGTTAGTACCTATGGGCCCTAATACTAACCCTTGTGGTACACAACATTTTGTCCCCCCAGAATTTGTAGAAACAATTCTTCAAATGAGAATTTTTTACGCAAGATTCCAGTAAATTCCTTCAAATTCCAATTCTTCACAAATTCCTCCAGATACCCTACTTACCACAAATACCTCGAAATACCCCACCACAAATTCTTCCAAATAATACTAATAATACTTTATTTAAAACTGTTTTATTAGGTACATACAATGATAATACATAACAATGAAATACTCCAAAGTCCAGGGCCGGCTCTAGGTATTTTGCCGCCCTGGGCAATGAGTAAATTTGCCGCCACATCCCATTACCCGCTTAGGGAAAATGTGAGAGATTTTGAATTGTAGAAACAAAAAATAATTACACAAAACAATAAGGCATACCATCATCAGTCTAGGAAAATTGTCGATTTTCAAAAAAAAAATTCCTACCCAAATGAATTTTTCAGGAATGATAGGGGACGGGTGGATGATCATAAAACCGATGATATCACACATTCACCCCTCTGGCGTTTTGCGTTATAGGGGTTGAAAGTGCGCCATTGGCGATTACTTGGTACCTATTGATTTTACAAAAAAATGTTTCAAATAAAAGAAGTGCGACATTATTTGATCTACAATGTTTATCTGAAGACTTTTTTGATTAAGGGCTGTCTGTGGTCATAAGGGCCATTTGAAACTTTATAATGAAGATAAAAAAATTTAACCAACGTAAAAAAAATTTCTACAACGCATACAACGTTTTTGCTTTATGGAGTTTTTACTCACTCCTGTCGTTTTTCCAATAGGGGTAGTTTTTTTTTTTTATTTTTTTACAAAAAAATTTTCTTAATAAAAGTTTTATAAGATTACATTTCCTACAATTTTTCCTTATTAACTTTTTTTGTAACTCACCCCCATTCAGCAGGGGGACACTTCCCTTGAGGAAATTTTAGTTTTTAGGGGTATATATTGTTTTTTTTTTTTTTTTTCTCTTTTCGCCCTTAGTGCATATAAAAAGTTGCAATTAACATTGTATTGAAAGGATTTTTTTTTCACCACCTTTCTGTTTTTAGGGGTAGTTCGCCTATTTTCAACTTTACAAAAAAAATTTATAAAGAAAACTTGTTCATTTTATTATTTTCAACAAGTTTTCTTTATAATTTTTTTTTGTTAAGTTGAAAATACGCGAACTACCCCTACAAAAAACTTCAAACTACCCCTATGGAAAAACGGCAGGGGGTGAGTAAAAACTTCATAAAGCAAAAATGTTGTATGTGTTGTAGAAAATTTTTTCACGTTGGTTAAAATTTTTCATTTTCATTATAAAATTTTAAACAACCCTTATGACCACAGACGGCCCTTAATAAAAAAAGTCTTTAGATAAACATTGTAGATCAAATAATGATGCACATCTTTTATTTGAAACATTTTTTTTTTCAACCCCTATAGCGCAAAACGCCAGAGGGGTGAATGTTTGATATTTTCGGTTTTATGATCACCCACCCGCCCCCTATCATCCCTGAAAAGTTCATTTGGGTAGGAATTTTTTTTTTGTGATGCACGTATTTTTCGACTATTTTTCTAGACTACATAGTAATAAAACCATACACACCTTATTATGTAACTTGTAACTACAAAAAAACCTAACCTAAGTAAACAAGAAACATAACAAACAAAGTAAGAGTCAGCCAATCCAAATTTTTGGCAACAATTTACAGGTGTGCAAGCTTGAGGTCTATGGGTTTAGACTTTAGAGGGAGATGTCATGAGTGGCTGACATCTTACCTTGCCGGAAGAATGCAGACTGTTGTGGTTAATAACATCGAGTCACCTGTGCGATACTTCAGGGCAGGGGTGCCTTAGGGATCCGTGCTGAGACCTCTTTTGTTTCTACTATATGTGAACGATTTGCCTAAGACGGGTATATCTGGAACTCTAACCATGTTTGCCAATGACACAATAGTTCTGTGGCACGGCTCAAATGCTGATATCCTGGACACCACAATCAGGGCCGACATTGACGTATTGGGCAGTGGTGTGATGCAAATCGTCTTGTACTCAATCTGACAAAGACTAATATAAATCCTTTATTTAGTCAAGACTAATTTACAGTTATACAGTTACAGTTATCAATTGAAATTCTACTAAGGCTAATTTATAATTTAATTAAAAAACAATTTTCATGTAATAATTTAAAATCTACAGTCAATAACACAATGATCAATCAATCAATCAATCAAAATATACTTTATTGTCCGAAAAACAAAAATAATTTTCCATTGACAAAGCTTTAGTTCCTAAATACTAGAGTAAAACATTTAAACAAGTGACTAAATAACGTAATTACAACAGTCAAAATAAATACATAAAATTAAAAATATCCAATACAGTAGCTAAAAAAAACAAAACACAAAATAAAATTTTTGGTCAACAGCATCTCCTAATATTTATTTATAGTAAAATTTTTATACAAAAAATACAAACTATGTTATCCTAAACTATTATCATCAAAAAATTCTTGCAAACTATAATATGCTTTTTTACACAAAAAACTTTTCAAAGCGGTTTTAAACCTTCTTAGTTCTTTAATTTCTCTTAGGTGAACAGGTAAATGATTAAATATTTTTTTACTTTTATAAATTACTGAGTTCTGTGTCAAAGAAGACCTCGGGATCGGCAACGAAATTTTTAGTTTCTGTCTAGTTTCGTAGGTTCTTGAGAGATCTATTTGGTCATAAAATTTTTTATGCATTAAAATTTCTGTCTCTAGGATAAAAATACAGTAAACTGTCAAAATTTCATGTCTCAAGAAAAGTGGTCTACAATGATCTCGATATCCTCTTCCACACAGAAATCTTATTGCCCTTTTTTGTACAATAAACACCGAATCAAAAAGTGTCTGCGAGCAACATCCCCAGAAGGCTATGCCATACCGGATGTGAGATTCTACTAAAGAGAAATATACCATTTTGGCAGAATTATGGCCAAGCTCGTTGTATACAGTTCGTATGGCATAGCATCCGCTAGCCAGTCTATTGTTAAGGTTGTTGACATGCGTGGAAAATTTGAGCTGGCTGTCAACATGAATCCCAAGGAACTTGCAGTTGGACCTGTTTTCAATTAATTGAGCATCTAGGTAGAGGTCATTGTAAATAAATTTGAATGTCATGAGGTTGGTTTTCTTTGTATTAAAGCACAGTAAATTTGCGTCACACCATTCCTTAATTGTTTTTAAGTCCCTTGAGACTGTGTCCTTTAAAGTTTCAAAATTTTTCCCTCTCCAAGAAAGAGTGTTATCATCTGCAAAAGCTGTGAAGCGACCTTGAATTGGTAGTCTGAATATATCATTCAGATACAGCAAAAATAAAATCGGTCCGAGAACGGACCCTTGGGGAACGCCATTCGATGATAAAAAATTATTTAAAAAAAAACGTACACTGATACAATACAAGTGACACATACTTCTTACTTATAAGTTAACATCACTTAGCATATAATCTTTGAGAACTTTTTTAAAAGAATTCACTGTTTTCATAGACTTAACATTATTTGGCAGATCATTATACCTACTCAAGCCCTTAAAATATAATGAGTTTTGCGACCTTTCCTGATCTACCCTTGGGATATAAAAATTTTCTCTGTGGCGCGTATGATATTGATGCACTTCAGAAGCATACATAATTTTGCCTAACAAATATTGCGGAGCTTGACCAATTTTTATTTTATGAATGAATGTTAGGGTGTTAAACAGAAGAAGCTCCCGCACTGGCAGCCATTGAAGTTCTTTTAACATATTCTTTATTGGTGTTAACCTTGGTTTTTTGAGTATCACCCTCATACTTCTGTTTTGCAATTTCTGCAATCTTGAGAGCTCATTTTGTCTGAAGAGAAACAAAATACTAGAACAATAATGGAAATGTGGAAGTATTAATACATTAAATATAGTTTTTTTAGTCCAAGTAGACAAGTATGGAGAGCAGCGAGATAAATAATTTACTTTAAAAGCGATTTTTTTAATTATTTCTAATGCATGACTTTTAAAATCTAGTTTATGGTCAATCCAAATTCCTAAGTATTTAATTTTTGTTACCATTTCAATAGTGTCGCTACCCAACAATAATTTGCAGTCCATAGCCAATAGCTGTTTGTAAATGGATTCCCTTGCAATAATCATGTACTTTGTTTTAGAAATATTGACCTTCAAATCATTAACATTACACCACTGATACACATCATCCAATATTTGATTAAGTGATGTTTAAAGTTGGCCCAGATCTTTTGTGGAATAATAGAATAAGGCATCGTCAGCAAAAAGATATGTGGTACAATTTTTTACGTTTTTAATTATGTCATTAATATATATAATAAATAGCAAAGGCCCCAGCACGCTCCCCTGAGGGACGCCAAAATCATTAGATATATCTTCTGATAATATGTCATTGACTTTTAGTCTTTGTTTACGGTCACTCAAGTAGCTCACAAACCATTTTAAAACTACTCCCCTAATACCAATGCTTTTTAGCTTTAATATTAACCTTGTCCTGTTTACAGTTTCAAATGCCTTTCGTAAGTCAAGAAAAATGGCACCAGTTGCTAAGTTTTTGTCAATATTTTGCCTCCAGTCTTCCAAGATACCCTGCACAGCAGTTTCGCAACTAAATTTTACTCGAAATCCTGATTGAAAATCACTTAGTATTTTATTCCGATCTATATACTCAACAAGT